AATGCTTCTCTTTTCATTCTTAGATTTAATAATGCCTAACATGGAAACAGTTTTTAATACAGAAAATATACCAGAAAAACAAATCTAAAATAATTAAGTAGGAATTAATTTAAGAAGAAGCCCATTGCCCAAAGTCAGACAGGCAAACTGAAAGACCAAAGAAAAGTTTAAGGCTAGAAATAGATTTTTCCTCATAGACTTTTCCCACTGTTTAAGAGAATAACAGAATTACAGGCACCCTGAGGGGATAACAACATGTAGAAAGTAGTTTCCAGTTGGCTATGCTAACACCTTTGATAAAGTGAAAACAACTGAGTAAAACATACTGAAATACTACAACTTTCATAATTTGATTACTTTAAGAAAACAAGTCTGAAACATGAAATACATAGACAGCAACCCTAAAAAGTTTGAAGAGTATTTAAAATATTAATGACCTATCCGTAGATATAAAATTATCAATCAAACATTCACAGGTCCTTTGCCAATTCATTCTGAGCTCAAATGAAGCTAAGTTAAGCATCTCTTTGATCCAAGATGCATGCATTATTTAGCATTAGCTAGACATTTGTTCATTTATGCAGACACATGCCAACAGGATTTATGCAAGAGGGTACCCATTTCTGCTTAATTTGAAATGTCCTGGTTCTCTCTCTGGAATCTAAACCACAGTGATTTATGGGTTTTAGGGAGTCTTTGTATTTTAGCAAAAGAACACTTCCAAAAAGCTACAGTCAGAAACTCTTCCAGTGGAAAGTGAGATACATAAAGGTCTTAGTGCATCTCCAAAGAACAAGGTGCCAGTATCTGTGCTGCCTCCTCTTGTACAAACGTGTGACTCTAGGTACTTCCACAAGCACAAAACCAGCCCACTGATTTTTCATGGTATTTTTGCAGATTTTCTTTTCTGGCATACTGAAATATGCATGCAGGAGGTGGATTTTCAAGGATTAGAGGCTGGGAGAAACAGGTTTGGGATGGTGGTTTTGGTTTTTCAATTTTGGTGACTTGGTGTGGGTTTTGTTCCTAGTCTATGCAGCTGATCAAAATTTGCATCACACACATTAAAATCCTAAATAAATATTTATAAGGAAGACTGGTAAAGAACAAAATGAAAGGAAAACATGAGCTGCTAAGAACTAGCAACAGCGAGAAACTGAAATTAAGGAAAAAAATTGGCAATAAATTCTGAAAAGGTAAGTGTCTTTAGTTGTTTTGGTTTTTTTTTTCCCCTATATACCTCTCCCTGTGTCCAACACTTCTGGAGTGTGAATGTAGCACAGCTATAAGCACATTCCCTATGAACAACTTTTCAGCTCAGGTACTTTTTAAACTTCCTCTCAGCGTCCCAAATTTTCCAGTATTCTTGGGATTTCTTGCTCCACAACCCCTCTTCTAAAGACAAAGAAATTTTGAGAATAATCAAAATAGGAAATTCATGTACCATTGTTTAAGCTTCCTCTTGTCCTGCTCCCTGCAATACACAGAGCAACACTCAACACCCAGACTGGATATGCTCATTGATAGGCTGAGCATTTAGCATGTGATAAACTTCCAGACGATGGAAGTCTGGCCGAAAAACACAAAAAAGTCAAAAAATTATAAATATTTGCTACATCCTGAAAGATTTCTGTTAACCTGGGAAATACAGGCTAAATCTGTTGCCCTAATTCAACCTATTAACAGTACTCTGTGTAATGTTTACTTTTAAAACACAAAAGAATGAGAGCTATCTAAAACAAAAACAAGTTTAAAAATCAAACAGCAAACCATTTATTTCCTCCTGTCCAAACAGATCTCAGTAGCACCCAAACAATGTGAGCCAACCCAAACTGTCACATAATACTGTATTTATCTATCTAGCACTGCTGAAGCCAAGTACTAAGGGAGGGGGATACTAACAGAGGTCTATAGAATTAGTGCCATTAAGTTGAAGCAAAGAATTCATCCCCTGTACCTGAGGGGGGGAAAAATTAGGTTAAGAAAAACAACAATTATTGAGTAACTAGAGGCAAAAAATAATGCTAACACAACAGAACTCAGAAAAAGAAAGCAAAGGAGATGGGACTATCATGAGGACACCTCTTGCAGAGCTGAGCTACTATTTTACCACTTATATTTTGAAGTGCCAGCAAGGACAAGATCAGGCAAGCAAGTGGAAAATTGGAGAAAATGGGTCACAGAGTAGCAGTGACAAAGTGAGGTATGGAACTGTTCAATTTGCATTAAGAAAACTTCAAATCTACACTCAGATATGAAACTAAAGGAAAGAGGAGAGCAAAGACACACAAACATAACTGGGAGAAGCTTTTCAAGGGGAGCTGATGTGGTGCTGCAGAAACTCAACAAGGAATAAAAAAACCCCAGTGATCAAAAGTAAATCTTAAAAATGAAATGTTCAGGAGGTTTAGCACTTGAAGAAGAAAGGGCAAAGAAACATTTTTAAAAGTACCAGGACAGCTGGTAATGAGAGGTGGAATAAAGGGAGTATCCTTCAGAGCTAAAGAAATGAAGTCATATCTTTGCAATATTCATCTGACACAGTTACGCCTCAAACTTGAAACACTGAAAACTCTCAGCTTAAAAGGATATTCCAAATGGAACACCTTAAAGGCAAAGCAAGTGACACCAGCCGGCAATACCCACACTACAAGGCACAGAGTAACTGACAACATGGAATTACATAAAGTTTACAAAAAATCTACTGAAAGGGCAGTTTTGGCATAAACTTTTGAAAAGAAAATGAATAAAAATCACAGGAATAAAACTTGTGCTTCTCAACCAAAGACACTTCATCCAGCATCCTAACCACATCAACCAATCACTTAACCTTGCTGAGGAAGCAGAAGGGCTTCTAGAAGGTTTGGAGTTTTATTTTGTCGGCTTTTTGTTGGCTTTTTTTTTTTTCCCCCTTCAGTTTTCACTTTCTATCTATAAAAACCACAACTTTTCAGCTTGTTCAAGTTTATTAGTAAACTGCAACTTCAGCAAGGAATGAACAGCTCCTGCTAAGAAACAGCAGTGAAGCATTGCCTTGCCATAAGAATCAAACCAATAGACAGCTGTGGTTCAGCTCCCCTCCTCTGGCAATAGCTAATAAGCAATACTTCAACAGAATGTGAAATGCTGCCTGCTAATAATTGGTATTTGGTGTAGCACAGTATCATTACAAGATATATGGGGATCTCTTGGTTCCCCCTAACAAGATAACTGTTTGGAAATAGTCATCCAGACATCATCTAAGAAATATCGGCAAGTGTATACAGTACTTTTGCTGGCATAGGTATATAAAAAATAAAGCGATATTTAGGATTGCTTTAACTTCATGCTGTTGCAGACCATTAGTGCAGCTCATATTAAATACTTGACTCAGGGAACTATGTCACTCACTATGACATTGCAAGAAAATTGCCTTCTTGAAAAATGAAAGAATAATCTGCAAAAGCTCCTGAATGCACTCACTAGAGTCTTAACCTTGACACATAACAAAACATCAGTTATTCTTTAAACACAAGGGCAAGGATTAAACACCCCAGAGGTGCTCTCTCCTTCATACTGCTGCAGTTCACTAGTGGTCCAAACGAGCCATCCAGCACCATTACTACTAAACTTTTCCAGTTCAGAATAAAGCCTCAGTTTTATTGATCAAATGGAGTTCTTCAGATGAGAGGCACTTACTAGTACTTTGCTATTATCATGCACATAGTGTAATCTACACAAGACACAAACAAGCCTTTAGAAAATGACCTGTAGCGGTCTACCACCTTCCACTGACCTCCTTCAAAATTATATTTGGCTCTGTTTCAGCCTTTTATTGCTCTTTGGCACTAGTAATCCACCATTTGATCATTATAAAAAGAATCACAGCAGATGTGCCTACAAACAGAGCATGATGCTTTAAGTGGATTAGGAAGAGGTGAACTCTCAAGAAACAAAGTTCCTGAGTTTATGCTAATAAATTTACTTTAAAAGACTAAATTAAGAAGATATATGTGCAGATTTCCTTAAGCACTTCTATTTTGGAGTGAAGATGCAAAAGTGATGCTCATGACAGACTACATTTTCTATACTTCCCCACAGTATTCCAAGTATTTCTGGTTAGTAAGTTTTTCCAAACTCAAATTTTGCCCTCATCAAACACCACAGCAGAAAAGACACTAGTGTAGTTGGCAGAGGGGAACATTTATCACACAGTTATATAGCTGCATATTTATCACAATGCAGCTATATAAAGCTGCCTTGTGCTCTTTCCCTGCTTACACCATACAGATCAACAAATGAGGTGGAACCAGCTTTACTAGATTGAATTTTTCCAATGGCAAAACCATCTTCACTTGATTACTGATCAGAGTTGGCAAGACAGACTCTACATGCTACATGAATAAAGAAATGCATATGCAAGTGACTTTTTTTACTGTCAAGAAGTATTTAGGAATTAATAGTCTATCATGTACAAACCAGAACAGAACAAGCAAAACCAGAAAACTCGAACAGCATGCTATAGTTACAACAGTACAAGGCACAGAAGAATTGTAGTTCTCTAAAATAGTTTTGAGTCATCTTTGCAGTGTAAATGTGCATGGGTAGGGGGCTGCTATCACTGGTGAGTTTAGTAACATGTAGAAAGGCACTGTTCACAATTTTACTGAATTTACATTCATCTTTGCTTTCATGATTCTTGGCCACTTCTTACTTTTGCACGCCTTCCTTAACTTTTAGAGTAAAATAACAGTTTCACCTATCAGAATTCCAAAAATATCAAGGAACAGTAAAGAAAAAAAAAGTTTAGATACATATGTCTCAAAAATCGTTTAGATGAAATTTTATAGCATATCTTAGTTGTGCTTTACTGGGCAAGGTAGGTAGGCAAAATGGCTGGAGACATAGAGCTTTCTATAGACATTAGTCACCAGGAAGCAAAATTAGCTTTATTCTATAAAAAAAAATTAGCTTTATTCTATAATTCATAGTATCCTATCCATAAAACTTAAGCAACTTACTTTGCAGTGGTCATACTGCTGCTGTAAGGTTGGAACATCCCCTCCAACAGGCATTTGTTTTTTCAGTTCTTCATCTTTTGCATTTAGCCATTTGATTAACTCTTCCAGAGATGTCAGCAATCTGTTCCATTTCTCTGCACTGGCCTCCAAGTGAGCCCTGTGAGACATCATAACAGCATCTTTAAAGCCCTGAATGGCAAAACTAGTGTGGAAAAACAAACAAAATTGCTTCATCGGTAAAATGAGATTGTTTCAAGTGTTTAACTGCAAAGCAACTTTGTGCTAAAAAGAAAAAAATCTATTTCAGAACACTTCGCACAGCAAATCAAAATAAACAGAAGAAACAGGGGAACACAGACAAATATGTCCCCCATGCTTTAACTCATCTAAAACCTTGAACACTGCATGTCTAAGCAACATAAAAAATTCCTGTGTTTTGTTGTGACTCCCCCATTTTGCAACATGCACAAGCATCATTTTGTGAGCTAAAGTATTGCAACACCGAACTCTTTCATGCTAGGACCTTGACTCTACAGAAGCAAAATCCAGTGTGTTCTTCCAGTAGTTACCAATAGCAAATTGCCTGTGCTGCTGAACATATCAGTCAGTGACACAGGTTACTTAATAAATCATCTTTCATTGATGTTGACTATTAATACAGTGACTCTCTTCCTCAATTTAATTGACAAAAAAAGTCAAACTCCACAATATATTTTTCAATAATTTTCAGAAATACCTTGACTTAGTGTCTTCTCCCTGCAGTACCTAAAAGATGCATAGAAATCTTCAAAAGGGACCATCTACCACTCTTTTACTGCAGTCATTCTATGTTATGGTATCATTCAAAACCAGCATGTACGTAATTTATATCAGCAAAAAAAAAGTTTTTCTTCACACAGATAGGGGAGTAGAGATGAATGATTTTCAGTGTAGTCTGACACCTGTTCTGAAAGTTTCTCCCCTGCTTCTGAAGGATGAATTCTATTCCCTTTTCTATTTTGCACATTGTTGGTTATCTTTTTTTTTCTGATTAATTGTGACTCACACCTAAAAACTTTCACCTGGCTTGTCTTATATTATCATTTCAAATGGTATTAGAGTGAAGTTTGGGGCTGATACAGCAACATTTGGATTGAAGGGATGATGTGCTGCAAGATTAACTCCAACATAATCTTAGGTTTGGCCACAATGAGATCTCCCAGCAATACACTAGGATAGGTGAATCAATAAAGCAGTCAAGTAAAAGTGTATAAGGAGGGAAATACAAAGAAAAAATATTCTGCATTTCTGAAAAAGGATAAACCAAGTACCTTTAGAAAGAGGAACCTATTCTCCTTCCCTCTTGTTAAGGAAAGCATTTAACTAACTACTTGGGAAAAAGTATGAAATTTAAGTAGTTGTTAGAAGTAACACTTTATTGCCTACAGTTTTGCATGTTATGGTTTCTATTATCCCTTACTGGTCTCACTGATACCTTTATCTCAACACTGAATTGCAACAAGCTGATAGCAGCTCACGCCTAAATAGTAGAGTCAGCATTCCATCCTGCACTGAAGCACAAGCAAGTTGTTGTGCTGGCCTTGGTGGGCAGGCCAGCAGCTTCTGAGTGGAATGTATTGTCTCCACTCTCCTGATATTTTTTCAGGTACTCAGAATTGGCCCTTCTTTCTTAAAGTAAAAACAGAGTTATACTTTTTACTTATCAGGCAGAAGGGAGACACTGCCCTCACAGCTAAGCCAAGGCAGCCCATATTTGAACTTACAGTGTTGTCATTAGACTCTGATTGCTAAAAAAGTATAGCTAGATAGTTGAGAATTTCTAGTAGCAACTACAATTAAAATGTTCAGGTTTACAGCTTTCTGTACATTTGATAGTGAAATCGATTACAGTTTCTAGCACCTATAAGCAGCTCTCACCTCTAAAAACTGGCACTCTGAGGCTTCAAGATTCTGCTCTAATTATTTGGTGGAATTCTTGTATGCAAAATAAATTGGAGCTTTGTAAGGAAGGGGAAAACTCCTGTAACTAGATAATGGACTAGATAATGGTGATTCACCCCTATCTAACATACAGTGCAATAATATTTAAAAAAAAATCTGATATTATTGTGAATGATATAGCATACATTACAGGATTAAATACATTGTAATTTACCACTTAGTACCTGCATGCATGCAAAATTAATGTCAATACCAAAAATAACACTAGCAAGCACATGGTTTCAAAGTCCAGTGTGAGTTAATCCTGCAGAGGTAGAGCGGTAAGGGGTGGAGAGGAAATGGACTACACCAGCAGGGCTGTCCACGGAGCACAAAGTGACCTAACCTCCCAAAGAAAGAAATTAAAAAGGGAAAAATACACAGGGGAAAACTCAGCAGCCTGGATTTTCTCAGAATACTATCCTTTTAATCTTATTGAAAGCAATACTGAAAATGAAAGCAAGATGCAGCAGCTGAAGTGCAGACACAAGCATTCAATTCTCCTGGGGAGCAAAGAAACACATTCAGTAAACACCATTCAAAACACATGCTGCACAGGAGCCAGAGAGTCAAGATATGCTTTAAATTGCATTTCAGTGTAAAGTTTTAGTATCACATCTACATTTGTCATACAGACATTATCAGAGACAGAAGATAAACTATGCAGTTCTGAAATATTTCTTGGGCTTTTCTGTTCTCTCAGTCAGTATTTGTTTTGGAATTGGTACTCTACTGATAAACAACCTGCAAACAAAGCGTCAGGTGTTTGTGCTCATGTGACAAATGAATTGGCAAACTCGGAGATTTACTAGGTCAAGTGGTGGCTTAAGAGTCTTCTCTGATCAAACTAGAGGTCAGTTATAGTTGATTGTTTCTGAGCCTGAGTTGGAGCACAAATATTCACCAGCAGCAACCACCAGGTATGCAAAAGCACTCCTAAGGGAATCCTGGATGTACCTGAAGAACACAGATGCTCCCATCCAACTGACTAGACTGAAAGGAAGCCTCCTTCCTGCCCCCAGTGCTGAATAAAATAATCCAGAAAACAGCAACTCTGACACAACTCCCCTTCTGTTGACACTGAGAAGCTCTCTTCACAGCTGGAGACCTCCCCAGCTTTTGATTCTGCTATGGAGGTAGCACGTTTCCCACTGAGTGACAAGGGAACACACGGAATAAAAAAAGATTGGTGGGTGGTCTAAATACAGAGAAACAGAGAGAAACTCCTTTTCGATTTCTCCCATATTTTTACCTCTACCCTCCCCCAAACACTAACATCCTCACACCTCCTTCCTCATGAGAAAATAATCTCCCCTAAACATTTGGCTTTAAAAAGCAGGCCCCCAGAAGTCTACAGCTTTGTTTTCTTCCTAGGAATAAGATAAAGAGAGAAAAATAAAGAAGCATAAGTCTGGAATTTCAAGGAGAGAGGTACAGCATCATAGACATCCCAAGTACATTTTTAAGCAGCTTCTGTGCATTTAAAAATATGTCAGCACCACTTTTCCAGTTTGGAACTCCCTTCACTGAGATTAGCAAAGAAGTAAACTCAACACACTGATTAGCAACACCAGCTCTGAGGACTGATGTGATGAGAAAAACTCATCCTTTCTTTGGGACAGCAGTACTTTCAGCAATTAAAAATCAGAATAATTGGAATGTACTATACATGAAAATATGCTAAAAAGCTCACAGAAACTTTTATTTAGAAGCACTAACCCAAGCTAAAACCCATTACAAAACAATCAGCTTTTTCATTCTTCAGTCCTAACATCTAAAAGTTACATGTTCTTCTCACTATGGTCATCCACACAGTTTTACTTTCCAATTCATCCTTGTAAAAAGATACAGCAAGAAAACAAAAACTGAAGGCAGACAGACTTCATGTCAGTTCTGTGCTTTGTTACTCCCCTATGAAGGCTTTAAGGACTCTTCAACAAGTTAGAAAAGTGATCTGCAAACAAGGAAGAGAGCAAAATACATTAACTCAGAAATATTACGCTCTTTTCAGTAGTGACTGAGATTTGAAAGGTTAATTTACTTGTCTTAGATTTGCACCAGTATTCTCTTTCTTGTCTATCTTACACTTTGATCTCCAGTGACATGTGGCTGGCTCTGCAGCACTGCAGGTACCAGCAGAGGAACATTAATGCTGCCCAATGGGATACACATGCCATATCTATGAGGAACAGAAAAGATGGGTCTGTATTCAGAAAATGTATTCCCAATTTCTGAGCACAGACTGCACAATCAGTCTTTCTGTACTATAGCCTTGGAAATTATAGCTATACAGGATAAGTGGCTTGAAGGCCCTTTTTCATGGCCATCTATTTCTCCCAAAATATGACCAAGCCTAGGAATGGCAAAGCAACCCAATGGTTCTTGCTAGGACTCCACAGTTGATAAGGTATTATTTTAAGAGAATACTTTTGTATTTCTCTCACATGGACTTGTGACTTTTGCATTAAATTGTGTATGTGGTGGAGCCAGTCTCTGCAAGACCCCACACCAAACTTTGGGTCCAAGTTCTGCCTGTGGGCTTTCAAGGAGCTGATTTAACAGTTTCATTTAACTGTTTAGCAGGTTGGTGACAAGTGGATATGTAAAGTAAATATGACATTTTCCCCTCTATTTCAATAATTCAAATTCTTGTGTCTGAATGTCAAGGTCAGCTCATTTTCTTGGCCTTTGGAATATTCATATGAATGTTTAACATTGTTCTTTTCTTTTAAAAGAACAGTTTTCTCAAACCAACGAGTGGTTGCAATTAAAAGCTCTAGAAATTATTCTCTATATAATTCATTTTCATATAGAATTTAATTCAATAATTAATATGGCAGTATCTATTTCAAAAAATTGCATCACAAAGATTTAACAATTACCACACTTGAGCTTGGCACAGATAGGGTCAAAAAACTGTAAAATGTATTCCTTGATTAATAAGTACTTAAAAAAAAATTTCAACTGAATAGCAGCCATTGAATTATTAATTTGAATTAATAATTCAAAACCAATTAAATGGATCAGGATACTTAAGATGCAAGTTCTGTTAATTTAGTAATTTCAAAACAAAAATTTTGTAAAAACAAAACTATTAACAAACTCCTGATTTCTCCTCAAAGCAATGGCAGATTTGCAGAATTATTTCACTGATACTGCCATTGAATTGCAATAAGGAAAGACTCAATGCACTTTCTGGAAATTTTGGTACAATGTCAGCAAATTATGACTGTGAAGCTCTGATGAGTAAACGAGTAGTTAAGCCTACCAGGTGAACAAGTTCACCAAGTTTTTATATTTGCACTCAGGGGTCCTGCATGAAAGAGAATAGATACTTCATTTCAATGCTGTGCTCATATTTGTCAAGCTTCTTAGAAGACAGGAACTGCCCCATCACACCTTGATGTTTTCATTACTCACCTGATGTTAGCAGACTTCGTCTTCAGGTCATTCCAGCGCTGGTTCATGTCATCAAGTCGGTGCTGAAGCAGAGCAGCTTCCTCAGAGTTTCCCAAGGCTTTCACCATTTTCTGTCTGTTTCCATCAATACTTTTAAAGATGTCATTGTGGGCATCAATTTCAGCTTGAATGTCCTGAAATACCAGCAAGAAAAGTTCAAACATAATTCTGTGAGTAGACAAGGAGAGAGCTAACTTTAATGAGCATCCCTAAACACTAGGACAGAGCACATATTCCAGCTTCCCTGGGTGTCTCTGATAAAAGATGCACTGGAGAAAACCTGCAATCCTATTAACGTCACTACAAAAGGTCTAGCTTTCTTAAGTGTGAGAAAAGGAGTCTGAAAGTCATCCAAGGCTGTGAAAAAGGAAATAGAATTATAAACACCAGGTTCTGTGATGTTGTGTTTTGTAGCACTGAAGGTAACTAACTGTCTCCTGTTCACCCACGCATTTCACACAGTGTGGCATTTGCAAATGCACTAGAACTCATTTCCTCTCCAGAAATTACAATGATTCAGCCCTAGCTTTGTTTTTGAAACAAAACATTCCAGAAACTTTAAGCAGTCTAGTGAAATGTAGCCTTTATCTAGTATTTTAGGGCACACATAATGAAAGCATTTAACTCAAATCTTAACTTCATAAGCCTAAACTGCAGCTAAATGGCTACAGCAACCAAAAGTCCATTTTGACAATTAAACTACTTTACATTATGGCCTGAATATATGGAGAGGTAGACATAAAATGGCAGGATGTATTATAATCTGAATTTTATAGTAAATACTGAAAAGACAAAGAAAAGCTTGTGATTTCCATTCTATTGATTCATTTCTCTTCCCCTTAGAAATTAAACACATTTTATTCTCTCAAGTACCATCTGCCTCAAGAAACACATTACAGATATTGTCTTCATCTAATTGAGCACAGTATTATTTTTAAAATACATAAAAAGAGCAAACAAAACTTCCTGCACCATTGCCAATGGTTTCTAGCATCCAAACATCACATCTATCTATATTCCAATAAAGCAATGTAAATGTGTGGAAAGCCAGGAGGTGTACTGGCTGTCTCAATAGGATTAATCAACAAAGATTATGACAGGAACTTGATGCAGATGTAAATAAACTTCTTTTGCAGAGGAGGAAATCAAATAACTGAAATTCCTTAAAGGTTTTTATTCTTCCAATCAACTCCTATGTAATCACCATCTGTTCCCAGAAGCAGGAAAGGGGGGGGGGGGGGGGAGAGGGAGTAGGTGGGGAGGGGGCTTTTGTACCTCCCCATCCGAAAGATGTATTCCTGCTGGCACGTATACAAATGGAAGTGGAAAAGTAGCCATGAATTTGAGAGTGAAAGCTTTCTAGACTTAGGAAAGAAAACAAAAAAATCAGGATACAGTTGAAGAAGAGGAGGGAGGAGAGATGGGGCAGTGGGAAAGGAGGTGAGAGGGGGAGGGAGGCATTGGTGAAGCTCTGTCTGGCCAGAAGAGCTACTATGCGTCTTTGGACAACTACCTTTATTTGCACGGAGATTCACTTCTTTAAAGCAGGTAAAAAGACACTTTTTTGGTCTTTGAAACAGCCCAATAAAAATCACCATTCTAAACACAGAAACAAAAATTACATTTAAAGGGAAAAAAACAAAATGGAATTGTCTGATGATTAGCCAACCCAAATAAGATGGCAGACTCACTAGCTGAATTAGATGCTTATCTAAAAATATTTGCAGCTCCTCTCCTTACAACTCCAACATGCATGCAGGTGCAGTGAAACCCAGCTCAATCCCACAGAGCAGGAGATACAGTGACTGTATAGCAGTTACAATTCTAACTGCAATGAAACTGAGCTACAAAAGCTGGGTCATGCAAAACATTTCTCTTTGCCTCAAAGTCACAAATGGCAACTTCATTGAAAACAAACTGATCTCTAACCTTCCTTCTACAATCACAATATTAACTGTAAACCATTCATTCCAGAACCTTCATAAAGCATTTTTTGATTTTACTTGAGAGTAAATTCAGCATGCATGCTCAAAAAATGGTTCATTCACAATAGGTTTGATTCTTACATTTTCCAATCATAATGTTACATTGACTAAGGTACAATAAATCTGCTGTTCACATTCTTGAGTCCCATCTGTAATAACCATGTTGAGACAAATCAGTTCAAAGAATAAAGTTTCAGAATTAACTTCTCTCTCATTTCTGCTTTCCATTTTCCAGGTGAAAAAACCAACCAACCACTGCCAGCTGATAGATAACCCAACAGAATTGATAAAGTTATTGAATGTGAATTTGTCACAGCCCTCAGAGAAAAGATGGAGAGAAATTCAAATAACATACCCCACATCAGTGTTCACATGGAAGTAGTAGAACAGAAAAGTAGGATGTGAAAAATGACTAACAGCAAGAAATGAGCACAATAAGTAAGTTATTCTCCAATAATGATATAAAATATCTGGATTTTTATTTAGGTACTGTCTTCTGGATGATGGGCTGCCATCTTATCCTAAGACTGCTGTTATTGCTAGCAATTGGTCATATGCTCCTGTACTCACCGTGTTAACAAAGTCCTTAAATTCTTATTTCTAAATAAATGTCTTTAAATGTCTTTCTTCAAAGAAAATTTACCATTCTGTAAACCCCCCAATTTATGTTCCTCCTAATCTATTATTTCTCTTTTTCCTGCCTTTTTCTTGGTCTTTGATTCCCCATTGTCCTCTATGTGGCAAAAAATGGGATAGAAAAAAGTTGATTATGCCTGCTCAGGCCCAGTGAGAACTAATTCTATAAGAGTTAATCCACTTTCAATTTTGCAATACTTTAGAAGAAACTCTAAATACTCCTCTATTATGACATCAAAGTTCCCATATTAAGGGAACACAGGGGCAACACACTGGAGAAAGCAGAAGAATTCTGTTGCTTTTGCCACATAAAGAGGGGGATACAACTGTGAAACTCCATCGCTGCTCTTAACCCAATACTTAAGGGATCCAGGCCAGAGTGGTCTCCCAGTCTACGTGAAACAAATCAAAGGGCAGAAAAGGGGAAAAACAAAAAAACAGAACAGAAAAAACCCCAAAAAACTAAAGAAATACACTATAAACAGAAAATGTCTTCTTGCTTTATCAACATTTTGCCTTGAGGCACCACTATAGTGGTGCCATAATTTTGCTAATTTTGCAAATATTTATGTGCACTTGGCTGTTAAACGAAATTGATAATTTATTGTATGAGGTCAACGTATTTGTTCACATGCAAGTGCTTGCAGGATTAATGCCCTAAATTAAAAGAAAGCTTTTTGAGGAAAGAATTGATCCTATATATAAATCAAAGTGAAAGCTCCAAAGTTTAAAAGATAGAAAGGAGAAAAAATAACTGGATTGGCATTTAGATATGTACTTAACTCTAGCCAGACTACTAAAGCATTGCCACTTCCCTAAATTCCTTTTACAAATTAAAATTAAGTATTAAGATCAAACTTCTGCCTTTTCCATTTTGATGTGGTGATTTCAAAATTTTATTTCCATTCTGAATCTTCTCTGACTTCATTGCTTCTCTCCCTGTTTATCTTTCTTCCTGCAGAATTCAAGTTTTCATATTTGGATTTGATTTTAAACCTTGTCTCCATAATAAAAAATCTACATCTTGCTTTAACTCCTACCAAATAAAATCTAAATGATCATGTGATGACAACTGAAGAGCATATGTCTTTAAAGAATGTATAAATATGTGCCACTTAGTAAGGCTGCAGATAGAAATACTGAAAAGGACACAAAACCAAGTTGCTACCAGAACAGGCCAAAGGCAGACTGGAGTGACATGCACAGGGTAAAAGAAAACCTGTGACAAAGATTGGAAAAGAACCCAACTTATGAGCCCAACCCAACCAGTTATTAAACTTTTGTCTTTTCTTTCCCCCTTATGGACTACAAAGATATGTTAAAAGCAGTTACAGCATTAGGCATAATTGTCCTTTGGAAACTATCAATATTTTTAAAAAGGCAAGAAGCCTCCAAGCCAAACCCACACATGATGTGTCTTTTTTCTAAATGATGAGTCCAGAGTGCCTCTAATTCACTCTGCAGCTCTCTAAGCTATTAACAGATTCACTTCTAATCACATTTTTTCAGATTTTGTCTGTATTGGCAATATACCAGTAAGGACAGTAACACAGGCAAATATTTCCCTTTTTATAGGACCCAAATACTTTTGTTGAAGATAAAAACACAACTAATGAAGATAAAAACACAACTAATGGAAGAAAACTCCATAGCCAAATTAAAGTGGAAGAAACTATGCTTTTTAAAATATACAAAGTGTTACTGTATTGAATTCTCACTATTAAAAATTCTGGGGTAATAATACAAGGATCTAAAACAGGGAACTTTGTGGGTTTTTGT